ATAAAATCTCACTAAAATAACCCACATATTTTTTTAATATCTAAAAAATTCGAACAAAAGTAAGTTGTGTTGTGATTTGGGTGTTTGATTTTAATCAATAAGTCCTAGTATTTTGCATATGGCTCTATAATGCAATGAAAGCAAAAAAGAACGATGTTTAAAAAAAGGGATATGAAAAGATGAAAGTGTGTGTCTATATATATATGAAAAGGGATTAACTTATATACAAGTGTTACACATTGCATTTACACAAAATTTTAACCATTAATCTCTTTATTTTTAATTATTGAGATTTATCATAACTTTTCAAATAAAAAAATAATTATATTTAATAAATATGAATACATTTCAATCATTGACAATGAAGAGATGCATAATAAAGAGATAAATTATTGAAATTTTGTGTAAGTGTAATATATAAGATTTATGTGAAAATGAATCCCTAGTATCACTACTAGAAAACACAATATAACCGACAAACTTATAATCGACAACCATGTTTCTGTCGATTATACTACTATAATCGATATCTTTTTTTATTGATTATAATGATTTGTCGATTATGTGTTATTTTAACTAATATAGTCGATAATTTATATAATCGACAGTTTTTCTGTTGATTATACCAATATAATTGACAGAAAAATGACTGTCGATTGTGGCCTGTTCTGTATAATATAGATATATTTTATAGGATGAGAAGTTAGTATATATTTGATAATTTAAATTAGTTTTAGTTATAAAGTATTAGAGTTTATATTAACAAAATATACAATATTAATAAAAAAAATCTAACATAATCTTATAGTAAAACGAAAACAAAAATACAATATAAAATTTTGTAAAGAAATAGCACATCATTCTTTTGATCAAACCTATAATTTCAATAATTAATTATAACCTCAAAAAAAAATTGATTCCTACTAACCTTAAAATAAAAAATTTTATAAGAGAATCAATGGCTTAATTCAATTTTTAGTCTATTAACTATCACCTTGATTTCATTTTAGTCTAGAAACTATATTTTATTTCTAAGTGGTCTATTAACTTTCAGATTCATTTCAATTTCATCTACCTGGTTATCTTTGACGGAAAACTTACTATTCTGTTAGAGAACAGTTAGTCCTCTAATTATATTTATTTTGATCTTTTAGTCCTCAAATTTATATTTACTGTAAAAATAACTTTTATACTTAAAATTATTATTTCTAGGCTCTGATACTGAATTTTTATTCAGGTTTTCAGAACTTAACTTAGACTACTACTAACTAATGAATAGCTGATATGTTAAGCTTAGTTAGTGTGGAATTAGATCTACTAGACTACTAACAAAAATAATCACTTTCTAGTTGTGTCTAGATCTTATAAAATTTTTTATCTATATCACTTTTTAGTTGTAGAATTATTATGTTATACATTTTTACGATTTGAAAAAGAGATTTTCTCATTTCTTTAATTCTTCTTAGGGTATTTTCATTAATTGTTTCTATTTTTAGAATATTATCAATTATTCATTAGTTAGTAGTAGTCTAAATTAAGTTCTGAAAACAAGAATAAAAATCTGGTATCAGAGCGTAGAAATAATAATTTTAAGTATAAAGGCTGTTTTTACAACAAATATAAATTTGAGGACTAAAAGATCAAAACAAATATAGTTAAAGGACTAACTGGTTCTCTAACAGAATAGTAAGTTTTCCATCAAAGATAACTAGGTAGACGAAATTGAAATGAATCCGAAAGTTAACAGACCACTTAGAAATAAAACATAGTTTCTAGACTAAAATGAAATCAAGGTGATAGTTAATAGACTAAAAATTGAATTAACCCGAGAATCAATAAAAAGAAACTAAAGGGGAAAAACCAAAAAATAAGAAAAGAAAAAAAGGAAAGGAGAGAATTAGATAAATCAAACTAACCATTAATTTAAACAAATAATACATCAGTTTAAATATAAAAATTAAAAATACAAAAAAAAAGATAAAAAAAAAATCAAAACATAATCGACAGCCACTTCGGCTGTCAATTATACTTATAATCAACATAATTAAAATTTTTTTATCTTTAATTTTTATATTTAAACTGATGTGTTATTTTTTTAAACTAATGCTCAATTTGATTTATCTAATTTTCTTCCTTTTTTTCCTTTTTTTTTTTTGGTTTTTCTATTTAGTTTCTTTTTATTGATTCTCTTATAAAAAAAAATCAATCAAAACATAATCAATAGCCAAAGTGGCTGTGGACTATGTTTTGAGTTTTTTTTAATCTTTTCTTTTATTTTTTGTATTTTTAATTTTTATATTTAAACTAATGTATTATTTGTTTAAACTAATGGTCAGTTTGATTTATCTAATTCTCTCCTTTCCTTTTTTTTTTTCTTATTTTTTTGGTTTTTTTTCCCTTTAGTTTTTTTTATTGATTCTCTTATAAAAAAAGATAAAAAAAAAAATAAAAACATAATCGACAACCATGCTCTGTGGATTATACTTGAAACCTGCCCATTCACCTCAAAAAATTTAAATCTCCCTGTTAATTTAATTTGAAATATATTCGACAACCTTATTTTGTATAGTTAACAGGATTTTTGTCGAATATATTTGTATTATATAGGGGTTTCAGCATCAAAACATCCCATTGTCATCTCTTTTCATCTTTAATTATCTCTTCATTTCTTCTTCTTTCTCACAGGTAAAACATCCCAACTTTCCTCTCAACTTCTTCTCCTTTTATTTTTCCTTTTTCTTTCATCTTTTATACTCTCCCAATTGTATTTTTGTAAGTATCTCTAATTTTATTTTATTTTTCATTTATACTTATTTCATTATTTTATTATTAAATTAAGAATTTTTATTATTTGATAAACTAATAGTTTCTTCTTCTTCTTTTTAGTGTGTGCAGATTTTAATACCATAATTATGAGGTAAATTTTTCTTTTAAATTTGATTTATACTTTTTATTTCCTTTTCTTTTAATAAAATCATAATGTATACCAATGCAATTTTTTTTTCTTATTTTTGGCAGGATATAGATAAAAAAATAATTAAGGTTAGAATTCTAATTTTAATTTTATTTATATTTATCTACTATTTCTTATGTTATATAATTCTCAAAATTATTTCATAAATATATTGTTGGGGGATTTGATAATTGTGTTGAAATTTAGTTTCATTGTTTTTTATATAATTTAATTAACAGAAAAAATATAAATATAATTTTGGATTTGTTAAATTCTGTATTTTTTTTTTAATTTTTTCACCAAGTATATTTGACAGCCAATGACTGTCGATTATATATTTATATTTGATAGAATAAATTTTTGTTGATTATAGTCTTTTTTGACTATCGTTTTTACCACATAAATACTTGTCAATTAAAGTATAATCGATAGAAATCCTTGTATAATCGACAGTATTTTCTATGGATTATACTATGTTTTCTAGTAGTGTGTATATATATATATATATAAGCATTATATAAACTTTTAACAACACATTAAGGCTAAAACCAACTTTGAGCCCCTCACCTTACAAAATTGATAGGTTTTAGCCCTTAACCTTATAATATGACACTTTTAGCCATTTACCTTACAAAGTTAGTAGGTTTTAACCCCTCACCTTACAAAATTGATAAGTTTTAACCCCTCACCTTATATTATGACATTTTTAGCCCCTTATCTATACGAATTGAAGAAAATAGCTCACTTAACATTAAGTTATAATGTTCTGTTAGTTGACTGTCAATTTTGTTAGCTAACTGTTAGTTCTGTTAGTTGACTGTTAGTATCTGTTAGCATTCCATTAATAGAACTGTTTACACCCATTTTTGCAAAAAAATAGAATGGTGCCACATGTCATTTATGTTGGCATATATTTCATCAGTGTAAATCTCTTTAAATAAGGTTCAATAGTTATTTCCATAACGGCAGCAAAGTCGTTTGGTTGTTGCGAACTTCCAAGACGATAATCGGCAATACAAATAGATTAATCGGTTTGTTTTAGATATCACGTTGCCATTGGTTTTTCAAGATTGTTGCCGCAAATCTCCAAGCATGCTACCAAAAGGTATTTATTGCTATAAGTATGCAGAGAAGAAACGAAGCGAAGAAGACCAGCCTCTCACACACAACTAGCCCAATGCTATTTACATTTTAGTTTTACAAGCAATGTCTTAGTTTAGATCTAGTTTTCTCAAATAGCTTTCCTAATTTAGTCTTTAGCTCTACACTGCCATTAGTTTTAACTATGATTTTTGTTATTTCATTGTGAACATCTCCACTCAATGTATTTAGTTTTCTGCAATTCAATTTACTACATTTTGCCCCAAATTCATCTTTCTAGCTTCTTTTAAGTTTTGTTTTACACTTCATCTTTTATTTCATTCTTTACGCTTTCATGCTTTCACGACGACATCACGCTTCCACTCTACAATTAGTTTTCTCACCATGCACTCTCTTTCTTCTCTTTTCCTTTATTTTTCTCTTTTATTTTGATCAACAAACAAACATTTTGGCCCTAGTTGTGGGAAGTCCTTGATGTTCTTCCAAGGCAATTATTTATGGATCTTTATGTAGGAATGCACCCTCGTTTCTGCAACAATCGTCTGACCAGGGCACATCTCATACTTTATTTAACCGGTGTTCTTCCATTGACTCGCAGCCGAGTTCCACGCTTGGAAGTAGTGAGGGTCACTAGGAATCCCTCTTTCTCACTTTGAGTAAAGTGAGTGGCACGCCTTCGCAGTCTTATCTGTCACGTGGCCAAAAAGGGAGATTTGGACAAAACAGGAACTAACAAATAAAATTGAATTTAAATTTCATATTTTTAATAACGAAATATTAACGGATGTTAATAGTCAGCTAACAGAACTAACAGAATATTATAACCTAATATTAGGTGAGAGTTATTTTCTTTAATTCGTATAGGTGATGGGTTAAAAATGTCATCATAAAAGGTGAAGGGTTAAAATCTATCAACTTGATAAGATGAAGAGCTAAACCTATCAAATTTGTAAAATAAATGATTAAAAATGTCATATTATAAAGTGAAAAATTAAAACATACAAACATTATAAGGTAAAGGGCTAAATGTTAGTTTTTACCACACACTAACAGAGATAAGAGCATTGTATGTGGTCACATGAGTCTT